CCAATTATATACACAATAAAAAATGAGGAAAGACTAAGACTGACGAAAGACCAAGACTTTTGGCTGGGCACTGACATGCCAATTATATACTCAATAGCACCGACACTCAAGACCAATCATACAATCAATAAATAGTCTTATGCACCTATATACACATACAGTCAATAATTACATACACTAGCACAACTAATCACACATTCGAGACGTAATTAAGGAGTCATCGACCTTATTCATACATATGCTGAAAGAACCAGATCCATATGGATGAAAGTTTTTGGTTTCCTGCACTTTCAAAACCGAGGGAAGATTGTAAATATTGTCTGTAAGATTCTTGAAACCCTCGTGTCAGTTTTCATCCTCGACCTCGAAACCCTGGCAATATTGAATCATCAAATATCTTAAAGAATCACTTAAACCGTGGAATAATTGACAATTATTAGGCAATGATGGGGCAGTTGCGACCATGTGAACCTCCTTACCAGGTAAAAAACAATATTTAGTTTCTCACCTTATAAAATTGATAAGTTTTAACCCCTTATCTTATAACATGATAATTTTAATTTTTTATTTTAAAAAATTGAAAAGTTTTAACCCTTCACCTTACAAAACTAATAAGTTTAACCATTTACTTTATATTATGATATTTTTAGCTCATCATCTATGCGAATTAAAGAAAATAATTCTAACCTAACATCAAATTATAACGTTCTGTTAGTTTTATTAGTTGACTGTTAACATATATTAGCATTTCGTTATAAAAAAATATGAAATTTAAATTCAATTTTATTTGTTAGTTTTATTAGTTTTATCTCGGTGGTGTTATAATATAAGGTAAGGGATTAAAACTTATTAACTTTATAAAGTGAGGGGTTAAAACTTATTAATTTTATAAAGTAAAAAATTAAAAATATCATATTTTAAGATTAAAAACTAAAACTTACTAATTTTATAAGATAAAATGTTAAATGTTGATTTTAGCCTCTTTACCAAAGAAGGCTTCTTTTACGCCCGGATATTATATGGAATGATGTCATTGAGCATTACAATGCCCTTTGGAACAAAGGGATGGGAAGCTTAATTAATGCATAATGATTTCAACACTCCTCGGGCGTTCATCTCCTCTAAAGAATTTGTTCTAATTCTATTGGTTAATTATAAAGGTGTAGCCTTCTCAAGTGTCATTCAGTATACTTAAACTTCATTTAATAATATTTTATACAAATAATTTTCACATAACAATTTATTTAAAATTTAAAATTTATAATATTTAATATAATTTTTATTAATTTTAATTATTATTTTATATTTTTTAAGATAATAAATTTTTTTTAAAAAATCTTTAATTATAATCCAACACAATAAGACAACACTAATAAACAAAACATTAATTACTTTCCTTCTTAACTTGACTTTCGCCCCAGTCTGTTACCCAAAAAAAAGAAAAAATCGTCCCACTTTACAACCAAAAAGAAGAAGAACGAAAAGAAAAAAAAAAGGAGAAGAAGATAGAGCCAAGGTGCATTATTGAGTTTTGACTAGTAGGGTCACACCTCCATGTGAAAACAAACAGAAAAAGCAGAACTCTGAACTTTGGCAAATTGGCACTCTTTCCAATGCACATTGCACGAGGATGTACGGAGAAATAAATTTGAGTGAAGCCATTGGGTATAAGAAAGACAAAGGATAGAAGAACTATAAAGCCAACATTAAAGCCAAAACCCATTATATTTATATATAGAAAAGGAAACCCATTATTTTCAAAGAGATTTATTTATTAATTTCCCCATTCCAACCTTAGATAGCTCCTCCCCTGGTTGCGGCCTACATCCTACCAGCAATTTGCATTACATAATTTACGTTAAATTATTTTTATTATCTCTAAGAAACTACAAATATTGTAATTTATTTTTTCATTTTTATAAACTGCAATAAAATTAGTTAGGACGCCACACTGTTTGCTTAATAATAGGTTGATTTTTTTTAACATTACTTGAAAGCAATGGGTTGAAATTGCAAAAAAAAAAAGTATAAACCATGGCATTGGCATGTGTGCAGGAGGACAAACCAAGGACGGGGAAGTCTGTGGCTCTTGACTAGGGCTGGGCATTTTTCAACCGAACCGATTGTTTACCTGAAAACCGAACCGAAAAAATGAATTCGGTTCGGTTTCAATGGTTTTTGGTTTTATTTTTTTGGTTTCGATATTAACCGAATATATTT